AGTATGTCAGGGATCTGGACTCTGACTACTCTGATCGCGAAGAGGACCAGGTCGGCTCTCCTAAGGAGGGCGCTCCCCCAGCAGGCTCTTAGGCGACCCCCCTTTTCTTTTTTTTTTTTGTTTGTAAGTGTTAGGGCAGAGCTGCAAGGTCTATAAGCCTTGGCTCTGCTCTTCATTCAATAAAGAGACTCCCATTTGCTTCTACTTTGTTGTTGGCAACCACTTTTCTTTGCTTCTCCTTTGAACTGCAGCTAACGTCACCTCGCACCTCCTACTTTTGAGGTCGCGCCTTTAATTAACATAATTTGAAAGTTTGAGTTTGAATCTCTTAATGTTCAATACATTGCACCAACTCTGGATTTTTAACATTTCACCCTTAACTTAAAAAGGTAAAAAGGCTAAAATCCTAAGTCCGTAGCTATTCTTCATATCTTTCCTCGTACCCCCAAGTTCGGAGGCTTGATCACACATCGCCCCCTTTGCCTTGAAGGTTTGAATTTTAAGTTCGTCAGTGGTTTTGACATCGCATCTCGTACCCTTAGGCTTCGAAGGATTGAATTTGAACCAACTGCTGGAATGCGATCGCGTGGGAGTCCGTGTACCCCATTTAATTTCTTGTCGAACTCGGAAGCATGAAATTAAATCATCACACTTATATTGATCATAATTCTTTTGGAACAGCCTTTACAGATGCATTGAAAATCCTTTTGTCGTTTCAAGGATAATAACGCTTCAGATGCTCCGCGTTCCACGGGTGCGCGAGGACGTCTCCTTTCAGATTGGCCAATATGTACGTCCCAGGTCGAACTATGCCCTTGATCTCAAACGGGCCCTCCCAGGCCGGGTCAAGGGCACCCACATGTGTTTGGACCCTCTTAAGACCAGATGTCCGACCTGAAAGGCCCGAGGTCGGACGCGGGCATTGTAATGTCTGGCCATTCTGCCCTGATATTCCGCCAGGCGTAACTGGGCCATTGCTCTTCTTTCTTCCAACAAGTTGAGGAGCAGCCCATCCTCATTCGTCGTAGGCTCATAATGCTCGACTCTGTCAGATGGCATGCCGATCTCAACCGGGACTACAGCTTCGGAGCCGAAGGCTAGGGAGAACGGGGTCTCACCCGTCGACTCTCGTTGGGTGGTCCGGTACGACCATAGAACCTCTGGTAGCTCCTCGGCCCACCTGCTTTTCTTGGAGTCCAGTCTAAGTTTGATGCCTCGCTTGATGATCTTGTTGACC